AAAAAAAAAAAAAAAAACCTTAGCATATGCAACCTGAGGGGAGCAGCAGATAAAAAAAAAAAAAGAGGAGCCGAGCCAAGCACAGAAAAAAAAAAAAGAGAGCCGATCAAGGACGGATGGCGACAGGTGATACGGAAAGGATCAGCAGCAAATTAGGCTCTATCTCGGTGAGGATGAGGAGTAATGGGCGGCGGGTGGGGTTTCTGTATCCAAATACACAAAAAGTCTCAGGCCAGCCCAGGTACAGTAGACACAGCTCCCAGCCGCCCCAAGACCTGCTGCCTGCGTCGGGCGCGAGCTTCGCCAATGATGGAGCGTAGAAGGGGGACGGGACCTAAAAGGCTCCCCCCACCCACAACACGGTCGGCGTCAGAGTCGGGCAGCAAAGAAGCAGGCAGACCACAACTGACCCACCTCCCACCTCTCACATCCCACTCCCACGCCGCGCTAGCGCGTCCCCGCCGGACATGGCCGAAGCTCTGCAGAAGCCGCGGTGCCATCATTGGCTCGCGATCATCTGATAGAATAAGATAACCCGTAGGATCCGTTCGTTGGATACCTGGGCACCCGTGCTAGAAGGCTGGTGATTATGGTCCCCGCCGTTGGGGCCTGGATGCATCAACTGCCCGACTAGGGGTGCCCCCCATCCACCAACACATACGTCACGTCAAGGATGCACATAAGATACGGCAGACCGATCAAACAATGAATTCGTTGCCCGCAATACAGCACCACAGCTATCTCGACTCTCAACTACATCAGTCCACCCTAGTCCCTCCTCTTTCGTTAGTGTACAAGCATATTCTTGCTCCAGCTTCCTCCGCCCTTTCCTGGAACATGCGAACTCATAGGACTCGTGTCGTGAAATGTTACTGTCGAGAAAAAAAAGTAGGAAGTAAAACAGATTCCACCTTCATTTGCTGGAATGAAAAAGATGATACCTCGCAACTGCGCTGCGACTTTGGATGTGGCCAACTAAAAACGAGGACAAAAAAGTACAACCATGACCGCACCGACTGATTGAATGATCGACCGAAATAGACTAGCCAAGGTCGAAAGAAACAACGGATGGGGATATAGAAGTGCAAACCACAAGACACCAAAAAATTCCAAATAAGGGGTATGCGTGTAAACCTCGCGGTTTGGTCTTGGAGGCAGGCAGGCAAAGCTATGCAGTGATGACAATGGGGGATACCGAACCGCGGACGGCCTAGTACAGGTGGAGTGTATACATGATGAAGAAGCCGACTGGTATCCGGACAATATGAGAAAGAAGACGATGAGGGGGTGTTAAAGGGCATATGTCGGACCAAAGGTATAAAAACACAAAAAAGAAGCCGCCGACCAGAAATGCAGCAAACCCGCAACCATTCATATCGGCATAGTACAGGAAGTAGAGTGTAAAATGAGTCGCTCCGAACCCAAATGCAAGATTCAGAGGGTGGAGGCCAGGCCAAAGTGCCGGCGACAAAGGACATGCATGGAAGGGATCAGGACTCCTCCATGATGCCGCCCTCGCCGCCACCGTCCTCGCGCCACTCGCGCGACCGCTCCGTGAGCCTGCGGACGCCGTTGACGCGGCCGGCCCAAAGCGCCTCAATGGGTGTCCTGAAGGTGAAGGCGCGCTGGGAGCTGATGACGCCGATGGCCTGGAGCACCGCCTTACGGCTGTCGCGACCGAACACGGCCGGGTGGCCGATCCACTCGAGGCTAGACTCGAGCTCGGCGTCGAGCGCCGCAACAGCGGTCGCGTCGATGCCGTTGGGGCCGCCCACCATCATGGGCGGCGTGGCCGAGGATGGACCCATGCCCGCCGCGGCCGACAGGGCGTCGATGGAGCGGCTGCGGGACATGGTTGAGTGATGGTGGGGGCCCTGGTAGCCCGCCGCCCCCGAGATGCTGCCCTCGCGGCCCTCGCGCAGGGTCGAGTGCGAAATGGTCGAGTGCGTTGGGGACGGAGTGCCGTTCTTGCGCTCCGGGAACGTGGGGCCCATGGTGGGCGAGCCTTCGGCGCCCGCATGCGGCGTCGATGGCTGCGACTTGTTGGGCACCGGAGGCACCGGCGGGAGACCGCCCTTGCCCAGGCCTTTGAGGATGGAGCGCGTCTCGTTGAGGAGCGTGTGTGCGCGGTCGTGCTGGCCGCGAGACACGAGCGTCAGCGCCCGTGTCAACATGTCCGAAGTCAGAAGTTCCATGCGCCGTTGCACAATTTGTGGGTGTGGCGGGATCGGCGGCGCGTTTATCCATGACCTGGTGCGCGGGTTCGACGCCGCAGGGAGCATTGTGATGGCCAGCAGCGACGGCCGCGGCATGTGCGTCACAGTTCCGTCACGCAGGATATCGCCCCAGCTCAGATCCGCCTGGATCAGCGGCACCTCCTCAATCGAGAGCGTCCTCTGATCCTCCGAGTCCATCGGACCGCCGAGCGCCTCGAGCCCAGACACGATCGTCTCCCACGGGTCTTGCGGCAGCTGCTCCTCCGAGCCCGTATCCGGGAGGATGACGAGCTGGACGAGGATATCCCTCTTGTCGCCAAAGCGCAGGTCACCCAGGGACGCCTCTGCGTCACGTCCTGCTGCGCGCTTCGTGATTTGCAGCGCCCCGCTGATCTTGTGGAACTTGGCCGGGGACCCTTCTGGTAATCTGAGCTTGAGCTTGACGTTCTGGTGCGAGAGGGTTTGCGCCGCGCCCAGGCAGCCAGCCAGGCATTCCCTCAGCATCATCCAATCCTTGACGTATGTGTAAGATGCCTTTGTCCTTGACGAGAGCTCGATCATGGTGTCTGGCTTGTGGGTCATGCCCAGTCCGAAAGAGTGGATGGAGATCCTGTGCAGAAATCACAATTAGTATGAGAAGCACACAATGCCATCATAAAAAAAACACAGCAAAGATGACTTACTTGGCAGCCTCGGCTCGTGAAATGACAAAGTCGACGCTGTCGCCATCGGCCGTCGAGGCGTCACTGATGAGCATGATGGTTGCAACAGGGTTGTTGTATTTCCTCTGCATCAGCAGGTCCATGGCCACGTTGGCACCCTCAATCACGTCCGCCCGGTGGCTCTTCTGGCCGACGGGCTTGATGGAGGCGAGCACGCCACCCCAACCGCCCCATGCCTTGGTGGTCATGCCAACAATAGGCACGCCGCCAACACCGGACCCAAATGTGACGAGGCCCATGCGATCGCGGTCGCCGAGCTGCTGAACCATGAACTTGAGCGCGTCGCGGACAAGGTTGATCTTGACGCCCTGCATAGACGACGAGATCGGCACCACCACCACCACGTCGATGGGGACGTGGATGGAGGGAAACATGGGACTCCGCCCCTGTGTGGTGTACTCGGTTGGTGCCGTCGTCACCGACTTGGGGCCGCCCCACGACGAGGCGAGCGACGAAACGCGCTCGGTGCGCGGCCTGCGTTGCCAGTCTTCCTCGTCCGTCTCCGACAGGTCGCACTCGGGGCTCCTGACGGGCGAGCCCTCGACCGCGTTGAGGTCCAGCAGCGCCTGCTGCCAGAGCTTCAGCTGGTTCCGGTTCTCGAATCGCAGATGGAATTGTGGGAGCTCAGCCACAGAGAGGCTGAGGGTCAAGACGTTCTCGTCGATGTTGCCAGTCTCGGCAACCTCGTTCAGGTGCTTCTTGATCAGGATGGAGCCCTTGAGCGTGCAACGCGTGGTCCGGCGCGGCGCACCGTTCTCGTCCCACTGCTGGTTGGGTGGCAGCTTCTTCTCCTTGACGCAAATGAGCATCTCGGCAAACAGGAAGCATTCCAGCTCCTGCCACGACACCTTGTCCTTGCCGACACGGAGGGTTCCGTAGAGACGCAGCTTTCCGAATCTGCTAAAGTCCAGGCCGTGCCAGTTCTCCACCCTATTCCTGAGACTCTCCGTCATCTCCTCCAGAACCTCACGCGATTCGTACGGGTAGAAGCGCGGTGGTGGCGGAGCCGTCTTTGGCGATGGGGGTGACGAGTACTGGTCATCCATCCTGCCATTGTGGTGCGGCATGCCGCCCGAGAGAGGCGCCGTGGTGGGCGGCAGTGGTGGCAGGCCGGCCATTTGCAGGTCCTCGGGGTCGGGACGCCACTTGCTGTCTGGCACCTCGACGGTGATGAGGCAAGTGAGCGTCTGCTGCTGGCGCGAGCGGCTGATAGTCGGGAACTCGGAGCGGACGGTGACGGTGGGCAGCGGGATGGGGTTGCGCGAGGGCATGCTGCGCGGGCTGGCAAGGGATGTCTCCATGGCCTGCACATCATAGTCGTGGGCTCGGCGCGGGCCGCTCTGGGTAGTTTCAGGGTAGCCGTTGGAGGAGGTGGCGCCGGTGGCCTCGCTATCGCTACGATTGTGGCGCGGAGCATACCGCTCCGTGTCTCGCGTGTCTCGCGTGTTCCTCGTCATTTGGCTATCGCGCGACATCTGCGCCTCCCGCGCCATGTGGCTCCCGCGTTCCCGGACGTCGGGGTGGCTCATGCCTGTGGTGTGGCTCATGGCGGCCGTCGACCTGGCGTTTGAGCCACGGCTCTGGGGCCGGCCAACTTGACTTGGCTGGTCATCCCAAGGGTGTGTCGGCGTCGGCGTGGCGATTGACCTCGTATCCGATGACGTGACCGATCTCACAAGGTTGGAGATTTTTTCTGCAGCGCGAGGATCAGGTTAGCTCCAAGCCACAAGTGCCAATGGCGGCGGCGATCCCCCAGACGCGCCAGCCAAGGCTGGAGTTCGTTGCGTGACACAAAACCCGGTCGGCGGCTTACCAATGTCTAGCACGTTTCCGGCCCTGCTCGTGTCCAGGTGCAACGGTGCATCGCACCTCGGGCAGTACTGCGACTCGATCTCCTTGATGTACTCGTAGAAGCAGGCCTCGTGCGAGACGTGGGTGCACGAGAACTGCAGGATGCGCTCGCCGCGGAGCGTGTGTTCTAGCGGCTCCTCGCACACGGCGCACTCGGCGCCGACGAAGGTGCGCTCCCTCCGCGTGCGTGCGCGTTCCGAGCTCATGACTGAGTTGGATCTCCCGACGCTGTCTCGAGACTGGATCGACGACACCGAGCCGCTCTGCCGCTGGTGCTTTTGCGCGGGCAGCCGGATTGTCCCGCTCGAGATGGAATTGTCTGTGGCGAAGCAAGTGCGCTTGTTGTCAGCCTTCTCTCTTTGATCTCTCCCCTCCTTTTTTCAGTGATTTCGTCTGGGCCCTGGACGGTGGCAATTGTGCGGAGCTCGCGAGGAGCGGCGACGAGCGTGGTTTTGTCACTCCCGTGGTAGGCGAACCCTTGCTCGATTTGCCAGAACCAAACAATGCACCGGTTTGAAGGAAAGGGTGTTTCGGGCGGCAGGCAGGGACCCGCCGGCACAGGGCATAAAACGGAACAGCGGTTATAAGGGCTCGCCGGACAGGGTCAGGCAACCGAACCTACTCTTTTCTGGGAACGACGAAACCCCGTCGTCGGCCGTGTTGCTGGTGCCTTGATTATAGGCCGGGCGGTCGGCCTCCCTTTTCCAAGAGGGCCCTAGCTCCTGGCTGAGCAGACCAGACTCCTGCAGACGGCCCTCGACACCGTAGGCGTTCTTCTTCTTCTTGGCGTGGTACCGGCTGAACATATGGGATAGGCCCGGTGCAGAGGGGTCGAGGCGAAGACTCGGGCAGCTGTTACTTTTCCCCCTTCTCCTGCCCTTCGGGTTGGCTTGGGGGTGTACCCGTCGTCGTCCGCGTCGTAGTCGTGTTCGTCAACGTCAGCACCGCCGGAGCAGAGTTAGGCGTGGGCGAGGGGTGGCCTGTTAGCGGCTCGGGGAGGAGCACGGCAGCAAGATGCGAGGGCCAGGCCAGTAGGGCAGACGGCAGAGGTGTCCTCGTGGTTGGGGTGTACGCGGCACGAGCTCCTGCGATGGATGTGAGATCTTCAGGGGGATCGGCTTCAGACAGAAAAGTAGTCTGGCAAACGCGCGCCGGGAGAATTGGTGGTCAAGCAGCGATGGGCTCGTGGGCGCAGTGCGAAGGAGGCAGGGGCGACCAGGCGGTAATATGCCACAGAAAGGATGCGGGCGTCGGGGTGTATCTGGGAGAAGGCAGGGTAGGGGGTAGGTCGCTGGCGGAAGGATTTGGAGGGGAACGAAAGGGGGGTGGACAGCGGCTCGTCGTTGGATCCGGCGGGACGGGGTGCCAGGCACGGCACGCCCAAGTAAAATACCAGACAGGGTATGTGGGTCTGTGGCGTGGGTCGCACGCAAAGGCTTGGGCTGTGGGCGCGGCAAGCCTGGTTCGCAGCAAATTATGGGAGACGTGGGTGGTCGAATCGATGTCCGCCCCGGTGGAGGCGCACCCCCCCCCTTGCGAGGATGCAAGTCAGGGTTGCGTGGTCGTGATTCTGCTCGTGGAGTCGCCGCCCCTGGACCCTGGCCGGCTCCAGCGTCCGGGATGTGCGGGACAACAAGTCACAAGGGGGGGCGCGGAAGACAGGCGAGAGCGAAAAGCAGAAAGGAAAGAAAAAAAATAATAATAATAAAAGTGCTCCTGGGAAACGCTGCCGAGGGGGGTTTGTTTCAGAGCCACGATATCGACCAGGAACCGAACCAAAAATCCCCTATAGCCAACGGGGAGGTTCGCTGGCACCACGCTCCCACTGACCGGATTCTCGGGGAACACTAGCAGGGCAGGCTGGGGCCACATCCGTCTTGATCTGTTGGGAGCTGGTGGTTCCAGGATCCGAGATGCGGCTACGGAGCAGTTACTTTTCAGAGCAGCATTGCGGAACTGTCTTGGTCACGTCCTGCCGTTTGTCGTGGGCGCGAACGTCTTTGTCTTGTCTGAGTCTGGCGATATTTTTTGTGCAACATGCGCGGTGGGAGAGAAGGGGATGGGCAGAGAGAGCAGGTGAGTAAACAGGCAGGCAGCCTGTGTCCGGCTGCCGACACTAGTACGAGCGCGGCGCACACCCCGCCCACAGGTGCGTGGTGCGTTGCAGAGAGGAGCCCAGTGCACGGTGTAACGTCTGGCGTATCTCTAGGTGGGCGTGTTATTTTTTTTTCTTGGGTGGCGCTGTGTGTGTGTGTGTGTGTGTGTGTGTGTGTGTGTGGCACCAGCGGCTCTAGGTAGCACCTTCCATAGTGGTAGGCGCAGCCGGCCCCTTGTGCAGCGTTGCACCGTCCCAGTTGCGCGGGAGCGTGGCTATCAAGAAGAGGCCCCGACTGCAACCGTTGCCGGGACCCCGTGAGTGAAGGGAGGAAGGGTTCATATGGCCAGCCGGCTGGAGGTGGTGTTTGGGGATTCCGCGATCGAGATTGACCAGTCCTGAGTGTTCGTTCCGGCTACATGCATCAACCCAATTGGCGAATCCGGCGCTAAGGGACGGGGGTCTGCTCAATTGCCTCGCGCCGTGGAGTGGAGCGTTGACCGCGGCATCTGGCTGTCTGCCGCGGCGCTCCATCCAGGAAGTCGTGACTGGCCAGAGGAAGGGGTGATGCAGGCACAGAATTGGGCGACCGACAGGCAGGAAAAAAAAGAAACCCCACGCGAAGCGATCAGCAAACGAGCCCACTAGCTCGACTGACTCCCCGTCATATCTGGGTACTGCTGCGCAGCACGGCGAGTGCTGTAATATGGGATAATAACGGCAGGATCCAGAACCATGAGTCTGGGCTCGGGAAATACCTAAGTGACAGGGATGGCCGCCCAGCGTTTTCTCCGGATCTTCTGTCATTTTTTGCTTCTTTGGCTTCTGCCCTCGTTCCTCGGTTCTCGGCGGGGGAAACGGTCATCCTCCCCATCCTCACTGGAGCAGTCCAATGCACCGGAAATGGGCGTAATTTGGCCCTCACCCAGCCTGTGGACAGCCGTCCAGCCATTCGTTTGATAAGACTGGTGGGAAGGCCATTTCATCATTAGGGGACTCGCAACCTAACGTTGCCACCTCCAGAGACTCACCCGGCGGTTGGGAGGATTTGGCTCGGTCCCATAATTGGATTAGAAGCTGTTTCCCACAGAGCAAGTGGGCAGAGCTCGGGTTTGCAGCTAGGGGCCCGGGCAGCCAAGTGGTGGTCGGCATGTTCTTCAACGGCGCAACGGCCGATGGCGTCGTAGGCCATATACACGTAGATCAGCACGTCTTCGAACTCCTACAGGTCCTTTCGCGCAATTAAGGATGCACCCGAGCGGCTGCACTTGAAGATCAAAGAATAGCATGCGCATTATGGCCCGCGCTACGGGATAGCAGAGGTGCATCACCGCCCTAGGTGTCCTCCTCGCGGTGAAGTGTGGGAACTGCTGCTCCCCAGGTTAGTCGGCCAAGCCCCACTTGGTGCTATTTGAGAAAGGGGGTCGGCCGTGATGATAGCACGGGCTCCCTATCCGCAGTGCCGCCGGCTGAGGCTAGAGACGGCCTTGTGTTTGGAATTTTGTTTCCATTGCTCCTCCCAGTCCGGTTTTCCCATGTTTGCTTTTCTGTTTACGGTCTTCCCTCCCTCCCTTTCTCTATCTCCGTCCCTGCCCTGGCGACCACACAGACTAGCGGCGATGGCGGTTTTTTTGGTCTGGCCCCGGTCCTTGCAGGCGGCGCACGGCGCCAGCGTAAGCTCCTGGCTGTGCGCAGCACGAGCAGCTGCTGGACCTGCGGCTTGCTCTGCTTTCTCCCCGGGCCACAATAAACGGCCAGGGGGGTGGGTGGTCGAGTGGGCCGCAGGGACACGACCGGCCAGTCTGGGTGTCTGGGTCGTCAGTGCGTGGTGCAGCTTGCCAGCCAAGAGGGGACGCTGCCCCACTCCACGGATTAGCTCTTGCGGGGCAACTTGCAGCGACCTTGGGGCGGCGGACGGACCTTTTAGCAGGCCCTCCTTCATCCAAGTTGACCCTCACTCCAGAGTCGCGGCCCCACTGGCTTGCCTTCGAGCCCCATCTCCAGGCCCGGTTTGGACACTACCACAACCGCGCCGCCAGATGTTTGGACAAAGACGACAGCGTAGCAAGCCATGCAATATATCGGCCTGTCACAGACGCTTATTTCCTGTGCGACGTTACCCTAATGCCCGCTAAGCTCGCGGCCCTGAGTCGTTTGGCCCCCCGTGCTAATCGCGGCATGGGCTGCTGTCCATAACGTTCAGCTGCGGCGACTGCGGCCTAAAAAAAAAAGAAAAAAAAAAGGAAGAGGATGCATCAAATCTGAGGCAGCGCCAGCGACGCAAGGGAGAAGGGGGCGCGTGGGTGGTTATTGGCGAGAGAAGTATCGGCTAGAGAAACGAAGAAGAAAAGGCATGGAGCAATCATGTTGCAGTCGCAGCACGGCAGGCCCCGGTCAGAGAGCAACGGAAGGCCGGCCGCGAAAGATTGATTGAAAAAGCAAACTCGAAAGCAAAGAAAAAAGTGGCCAGGGCGTCACCCCATCCCCCCCTGTCATCCGGTCCCACCGCCAAAGCCACGCATGCAATGGAGACGCGGCGGGCCCGGGCGCCCCAAAAGCTAAGGCCCCACATTGCACCGCCCAGTCGAGAAAGCCTCCCACTCAATCGGGATGCCATGATCAGGAACGGATGTCAGGATGGGCCCGGGCACGGCCGGCTGGCAGCACACACGAGCGTTTTTAGTTTTTTAGTCTTTCGCGTTTGTATGAGGACCGCGGTGTCTTGGACTGATCGAGTAATCGCTACACGCGAAAAGGGCCACCCGATTCTCAAAACGCGCTCCAATGTCACTCTTCCATGCCAACACTCTTTTTTTTTCTTTCGCTCTCGCTCTGCATCGCTAAGAAGAAGCAAGAAGGATGTGTGTGTCTGTGCTCGGCCCGTTGTATCCCGACCTTGCTCGGCCATTGGTTAACGTCGGCCTGCATGCGAGTGGACGGGTCCTGAGCATCTCTGGTCCCGACGTGTAGTAGCCATTTTTTGCCCTCTCGCTTTCTTTGGTTTTGCTGTTGGCGAGATGCAAGTATGGTATCATTGGCATCACACACCCACACACACATATACACGCGGTCTCGCAGTTGGCGAGCCAGGCAGGGGTGTTGTCATCATTGACCATGAGGGCGTCCAGGATGCCATGTAACGTGAAGCTGCTAGTTGGGGCGGAGGTTTGCAACGGGGTGGCCGACTGAGTCGCGAGGGATGTGGCGCCTCAGCTTCTCCGCTTGCGCCTCTCTCCCACCCTATCCCGTCGTCCTCTCTCTCACCCCGCTGCACGCCATGTGGCATGTGGCATCCCAAGTCTCGTTGTTTTTTTTTTCGGCCGCGCCTCCGCCCACGATTGGCACGCGCGGATATCGGACCAAACCTCAATCCCCTCAGTGGCCCTTGTCATGACGGGTGGAAACACGTAGCCCGGGGCGACCGAAAGAGAAACCGCGTCGCACGTGGGGATGTTGTTGCTAGCCCGGCGCCGGCTCCGGGTTAGTCCCAGGAGGATATTCGATATTCGCAACCCCCAGCCCAGCCAGCCCACCGGCCCCAAGGCGGAGCCGTCGTGGCTAGCTCGTTTGTGTCCAACCCAGGCCCCCCTCTTCTCGGGCCTATCTCGTGGCTCCCGCGCTATACTGGGTTACCAGCTTGATATGGCTTGGTATTGCGTGTCCATGAGATGCCCTGCGTGACGCCGGCCTTGATTCTCCCTGCTCCCTGCATGGCCGCCGGCACGATAGCTTGCCCCCGACGGAGGCAGGCAAGGGGAGAGGTTCGCTAGGAAGGGATGAACGTAGATAGAATGGCGCGTCGATGGAAGAACGTCGGCTAAAGGATGTAGCCGGCGATATTGGACGTCCAGGCGAATATACCCTCCATCGTTTGTTTGGTGTGCTCGGACCCCTTTTTTTCTGTTTGCCGACCATCCACACCAGAGGAACGATCACGCCAGCGACGGCTATGCTGCAGGCGGAGAGCTGGCAATGCAAGTCCAAAACCAAGAGATGTGAGGTAATGTGCATATCCGGCCTATAGTGACCCAGGCCTTCTCCTCTCGAGACAGACAGTCTGGGGCCGTCGAGAGAGGGAAGGTCATCACCCATGGTGGTGGTGCGGGCTCTCAGCCAGACTGAGGCTCCACTCACGGCCCAGCCGATCCCCTCGTGCCCCTCTCAAGCACAGACAAGCCTCCTGCATTCCGATGTGCAAGATAGGTGCAAAGTCTCCGAATGGTCACTCCCTCCCTTTGCTCGCTGCAGCCCGAACCCGTCTCCGTGTTTCTCTCTCGACCCCCGCTTGTGTTTCACGTAGCAGCCAATACCTACCACGTGTCTCCCGAATTGATGGTGTCATGCGTGGCGTTTTTTTCTTCAGCCGCTCGGCTGACATTCGAGAAGGAAGAGAAACTTGCTTCTTTTCCGCTGCCAGCCAGTCGTTCATCGCTAGTGTTGGTGCTAGTGTCTGGCGCTGGGGCTATACGACCTAACCCGCCAAGGCTGGCCGTACACATGGCCAAGCACGATATGACATGATGGTGGCCTTCTGCAGGGGAGCTGCAGGTATTCCAACGAGCCTCGCTCGCTTACGAAGAAGAGGAAGGAGATACAAACCCACGTCGCCCAAATAAAAAGCGATACACCAAAAAAGTGACCTTATCGGGCGCATTCATTCCTTCTCAACTTATTCGATCTCCGAAAAGAAAGAATGAAAACGTAACTTAATATGTAAATAAATGCTGCCATTTTTTGCATTATTTTATTTTATTTATTTCGCTGTGTATTGTGTATTTTTCGAAGCCGTCTTTTGCTACCGATGTTTTCGCTGCGAAAGTGCTTGGGGCAAGTTCCCCACATTCTGATCTTTTGGTGTATCGCTTTTTAGTTGGGCGACATGAAACCCAAAAAGAGAAGGAATGTAACCAGGGAACGAACGTCTGGGGAAATGAGCGCGTCACCGGACCTTTGCTCCCGCTGGCCGCTGAAGAAGTGAACTGTCAGGGACTAAACATGCCCCAGAGGTTCACGCGGCCAAACCGGCCAGACGAGTGAGTGACCGGTCAGTCTGCAGCATTGGTATTACGAACAACCACACGTTTGACGGTCCATAAGTGGGTGCTGGAAGGGTCGTATTCTGATGGGCAATGCCGCGCCAACGCAGGCCACCGGGATATGATCGCGCTCGGGCCCCTCCGCCAGATTCTGGTTCTAGTTCTGCCGTTGCTGAGTTAGGGTTGCTTGCTTTGAGGGTGTGCCCACCACCACGGTGGTGCACTGGTGGTGGCAACCCCTGGCTGTTGTCAGCGACGCTATTATGGTTCAAGAGGAGAAGGTTTCCAAGGGAAATTCCACGGGTTGCGCCGCACTTTTGAGCTGTCACATTGTTTTCTCCGACAATTTTGGGCGTGGATCTCGAGCTCATTCGAGATACCAAGGTAAATGCATGCAAAAGGAGACGACATGAATGCAGGATCGATAAAGAGAATTATTTTCGCAAATGTGCCAATATTCCAGAATACGATCTTGCACAAGGATAAATAATGATAATAATAAAAAGCTCCGAACCTGCTTCTCCACTTGCTCGGCTATGTAAGTCTTGTCGACGAGAGAGAAGAAAAAAAGGGGAACCACAGGGGCCAGACAGCTGCTCTCGTATTGCAGGCCATGGTCGGCCGGCATTGAAGGATTTAGGATGCTCGATACCCAACTTTGCGGGCGGGCAAGCATCGTTCTGCAGGCGGCCCAAAACGGAATGAGTATTCGGGAAGGAGGGAGAGAGAGAGGAGGAAAAAAAAAGGGGGGTCGGGACGCGATGGGCGCGCGTGGGCGCGCGCTTGCAAGACACGTACCGGTCACCAGCGCCGGCATCCGGGGAGGAGGCGAGGCGACGGGTGATGCGGGTGGAGAAGTGACAGGGGTGGTGGGAAAAGACGAGGGCAGGCCAATGATGTGGACAGAAAAGGGCTGCCGGTTGATGCGACCAGGGCTGCTCGTGGGCCTTCTTCTCTTTTGGCAAGGTGGTACCGGAGGGACCCAACGTCGGTCAGGTACGGTACCACGTCTACATGGGAGATGGATGGGGATGGGGAGGAAAGAGAGTATGCATCCGGAGCTTTTCTTTCTTTCAAGTGACCATTTTCATTTCGCTGCCGCGGCGGCATTGCACCTTCGATGTCGACTTGCCCTGTGCGGGCGTTGCACCGTATTTGGGGTTTGTCTCTCCATCCCCGCGGTGAGTGCGACGAGACTAGGAAGCTGAGGCCATCGTCGTTGTCGTCGCCGGCCAGAACGGCAGAGGCATTTCCCGAACATCATGATCATGGAAAGCTGTGGGGGGATCCGAGTCGGGCAATTACATATTCTGCAGGGGGGAGAAGAAAAAATCACGTAACACCCACGACTTTCCCACCCACTTTGGCGTTTCTTTCTGGGAATGACGGGCATTTGGCAGGCAAGGGACGGCGGCCCGGGACCGCTCATCATCATCCATCATCATCTGCCATGTGCTAGGCGGGCGCTAACAAGCAGGCATTGGACAGACTGCCCGCCCGCTGACGTGAGACGTGATGACAGATGGGTACCTACGGCAAGCAGGCCGCTCCGAATTGCGAGCTTCCCGGCTTGGGTGCCCATCGCTAGGGACCGACCAAGAAGAAGAAAGAAAAAAAGAGGGTTGTGTGGGTTGATTGCCAGTCGGCCGCGTTGATTGCATAACCCAACTGCCCGCGCCTTGACATCAACTGCGGCTCCGTATGCAAGAGAATAAAAATGGGGCATTTATGTCGTTTCACAAGGCCAAGGTCTCAATCCAAATGTCTTTTCTTGCGCCTCCTCCGTTGGTACGGCATTACCGAGAACCACCCACGTTTTATTTTATTGCCCCAGTAATAATAAATAGGACATAAGGTTCATTTGTGCAACCACCGACCACAGGGCCCCCTTATCACTTTGTGATGCCGTCGGGGCATTATTTTTGGGCTGTTCTCTGATGGCCCCATCAGGGCGTGTCGTCTTGGATAAAAATGAGACTGATCCCTGTAGGCCCGAGCCGTTTTTACCAAACAAGACGGTCCTCCGGGAGATCATGGTGTGCACGCCGCCGGTCGCGGAAGGCCTGGCCCTGGACGGTAACGATTATCGCAGTCTGTGCGGAAACGTTCTTTCGCGAGCATCAAACCCAAAGCCAAAAAAGAAATCTGTCTGTCAGGCCGAAAGAGGAATAAGATAAGGCCCAAGCGGGGCTGCCGTGACCCCCACCGAACGTAAACACCGGACGAATGCTTCAGGATAGGCCGGCCGTTCTGGAGATGCCTGTCCAAAAGGCGTGCGGCGGTGCACTGCGTCTTCGTTGTCCAAAATGGGAGGGAGGTGAGACCTGCATTAGCGGCAGACAAGAAAAGCCATGGTGTCTCGCCATGGTCGAACTAGGCGTCGGCGTCGGCTGCCTTGGCGCTCGCGAATGCGGTCATTGGGACAGGACGATCGCGAGGGCCGCTAATTTGGGCTTGCTCTACGGCGTTCGAGAAGGATGCCAACTCAGTGACCTGCATCATCCTGACACATGGAGCCCGCACATGGCGACGGCTCTCTTCTCTCTCTCTCGCTGCATGCTCCCGCCGCCTCTCTCCTGTCTCCCAAGTATGCACCGCGGCCACGCTAAATCCCTTGACATGCACACACACACACCCCCCCCTCAAGACTAGCCTGGAAATACAGCCGCGAGAACCGCCGCTGTGTTTGCCACGTGGGCAAACTCCCCGTCCAGGCTCGCGAGGTGCACGCCGTGGACGGTGTCGGCATCGAAGGGGCCCCGCTCGAACGTGGCGGTGGCGTCGCCAACCACCACCACGGCCCCGCCGTCGCCGTCGCCACCGAGAACCTGCAGGTTCGCCGCCATGCGCGCTGTGGTGCTGACGCAGTGGTCCGTCGTCAGGCCCGCGACCACGAGCTGCCGCGCCCCAGACGCCCGCACCCGCGCCTCCAGGTCCGTCCCCACGAAGGCGCTGTTGAAGTGCTTGGTGACGATCGGCTCTCCCGCTCGCGGGGCCGCGAACGATAGTGCCGCTACCGACGGGATTGGCGAGCTGGGGAGGTGGTGTGAGGGGTGTAGGGGCGAGTCGGGCGACGTGGAGTGGTGGTGGACGTGGATGATTTGCACTGCGTGGTGTTCTGGCTTGGTGGTGCCGTGGTTGTGGTTGTGTCGGCGCGCGGCCTCGAGGAGGGCCGCGACGTTGGCTTCAAAGGTGGGGGTGCTGCGTGTCTTGCCCCAGTGCGTCGGGTGCTTGAAGCCCTCCTGGATGTCGACGAGTAGCAGCACGGTTGGGGTGCTGGATGCTGGGTACATTTTTGTCGCCGAATGAGGGTGCAAATATTTATCCGGTGATAGTCGAGCAGCCTCAATGGCTTTACGAGAAAACTTACAGCCACCTCAAAGCAAGCGGGCTTTATACTAACACGCAAACACTAGGACTACAAGATTGGGTCCTTTTTATATCGCCCTCGTCGACTGCGCTATCGATGCCTATGCCCGGTCCATTATCTGTCATGTAAAGGGCGCGCGGCTTGTCGTTGTTGAAATGGGCGCAAGTGACTTCGACCCCGCATCGTAAACATAAATTGAAGTAACGGCGTCGGTAGCCAAACTACAAAATTATAAACACTCGCCATTTCTAGTAAGTGCTAAGAGCGAAACATATAACAAACGTGTGTTGGTAGATGATAAGGAACGCCACGGTGGGAAGTGCTTCGTATTTCTCACCCCGCGATTGTACCCCGCTATGTAATGTGCACAAGCGAACCATCTCTCGCCAATCACATGGCACTCAGTCTCCGTGGCGCAATTGGCTAGCGCGTCTGACTGTTATACTCCGGTATGATAAGTCATCAGGAGGTTCCTGGTTCGAGCCCAGGCGGGGACGCGATATATTTTTTTCGCTTCTTTTGTACCAAATGGCAAGTTTTCTTTTTAGATTTGGTTGCAATCATCATCATCGGTCGTACGATGTGGCGCAATACTTTTCAGCGGATAGAATGATGATGAAAACTTTGATCGAGGCTGCCGTTTAAATGTGGATCCACCATCATCAATCTCGGCGATTTATACTTGGCGCATTTGCCATGCAGGGACCGGCTGGTACCTCGGGATGGCAGTTCTGGTCTCGTCCAGGAAGGGCGGCACAGCGCATGTGTGCAACGACGGCAGGTGCCTCCTTGGGTTGGGCTCTTTCCCCGTCCGCTGGACTGGGCAGCGGGCATCTGCATAATCCGAAACAAGGCCAGATTCCGGGCGATGCTGGTCACCTGCTGGCGGGCGGCGTCTCTCGGCGATGCAGACCCAGATCGCGTAGCAAGCGCCCCCTCCCTCAAGGTCCCAGAAGCCCCATTCCTTGGTGGAGGGGATGGAGGGATGGAGGGCCCCTCCCCAAGGTGCCTGCGCTTCTTGCTGCGATCTCCCTGCATGCCGCGCGCGGCTCTGGGGAGGAGAGCCGCTATCACCTTATGCATCCAGCCTAGGCGAATGCGCAAAAGGCGAGATAGGCAGGCACGGACGTGCAGCGCGCCATGCATGCACTCACGTCAAAACGCCCTCCACACAGGGCGCCTTGGGTAACTCGGGGGGCAAGGTGTCATTTTTTTTTTCAGCCTGCTCTTTGTCCTGCAATGCGTTAGCCCACCCGCGCGCATCGCATCCTCTCCTGTGGCTGCAAGGACGAGCAGCCAAGTGCCGTAGGGCCCTGACTCGTTTCCTTGGAAGCGCATGCATTCTCGATGGGACCTCTTGGGTATCACCCAAAAGTCGGCGATGATGGCGTTTCCAAGGCGGAGGGGGAGGGGATTGAGGGAGGGAGGGTTTCATCATGCCATCCACCTTTTATCGCGGCCCTTTCCCCTCCTTCCTAACCAACCCGGCAACTGCGTCTACCACAAGTATATTCTCCGCCGCCGCTTCCTCCTTACGGCAGCTCGTCTCCGCACCCGGGGCTACGCTAGCACGCAGCCCCGGGCAAAGGGCCGATCGAGCGGCTCGAGATAATAAAGCCGTCGAAACAGGGCTTGCACCTCGCTCCCTGCTGTCACCCCCGCCCCATCTTTGGCGATGCCACCAGTGCGCCCACCCCGCGCCGCATCCTTGGCGCGTGTTTGTGCTCTAGACGCTCCAGCTCTCTCCCTTATACTCTCGTTTTCCATTCGCCGACTGCCCACTGTGGGAAGCATGATCGAATGAAGCACACCGCCACTCGCGATCTTGTTCGTATCGCTGGGTACGAAGATGAGTACCAAGGTGCACATCATGTACGCATGTTTCTCTGCCGTGCCCACTACGATGCAGTCAAGTCACAACAACCCCTCCGTCAGGTGTGATCTACTATAGGCACACACACACACACACACACTCACTCACACCTACCCCTCTTCCCCTATATGCAGAGAGGAGAGGCCTTGATGGATCCCCCTTGTGATCTTCCAAAACGACACTGACCCACGGCAGACGCGGCCTGGGCCTCGGGCTGCCGGTAAAGAGGCGGAAGAGGCTCTCTCGTCTTATTTCTCCCCCGCCCGACCTTGCATCGCAAGCAAGGCACTGCTACCACATGCTGGCACCTGACTGCTTTGCATCCCCTGGTTCCTCCTCGCAGTAGATTGACGGGGTGGGTGAGCTGCTCCAAGGGGAGGGATGTCTCCATGTCAGCCGAGGCAGGAAAAAGCTAGGCTGGCGGGAGAGAGTTCCCGCCATATCTCCCCATTCCCTATCCCTGGAACATCATAGGATAAATTAATATGCGTTTGGCTTGCATCTGGCCAGTCAGACAACGCACTACCACCCCAGCAAGCCCAGACTTGGCTTCGGTGATATCTACATGAGGCACATACGTATGTACAGTAGATCAAGGTCCAGGTCGCCAGTGCGGACCCTCCATGGGATAACCGATCCTGGGTACGATCCGTGGCGCGCGGGGGGGTTTGTCTAGGCACAGACTTGCAACAAGACCGTCAGCGGTTCTGATCAAGACACACCCAGGGCCCCCCTCGCCCGGAACGGTGGCATGGCTCAACGGTTCAGGGCCGGCACTTTGCAAGGGCTGGGTCAGGCCGGGCTGGAAGGCTGGAAGGCTGGAAACAAATCTGGTTCGACCCAGATGGCTGGCGCTGTGCAAATGTGTTTCCAAACGTAGGATTTCCAGCCCGCCTCCCAGTCGGCTGGATCTGGGATGCACCCAGAACCGCCCCTCGTCAGGGGACGGTTGCGAGCTGCCATTGGGTGCGGCGCATGGATCGGTGATTTTCTTTTTTCTCTCTCGCGGGCCATGATAGATTGGGCCTCCCCCCCTTTTTTTTCTGTCCCTCTCTGCACTGAATCTGAAACTGGTTCGCTTGCCATCCTTGGTTCCCCAGCCCCAACTGTGGGAACCTTTGGATGCGAGTCAAACAAAAAACAGGGAGACAGCTTGCAGGCGAACGCTTTGGTTGAAGAAACAAGCCGGGACGCGGCAGTATCTTTAAGGCAGACAAGGCCCACGTCAAATGGCCCCCGAATCTGGTTCAACCACACAAACTTTCTTTTTTGTCTTTGGTGGGTTTTGTGGTTCGACTAGACCCTGGCCAAGGTACCTTGCCCTGGATGGTGTGAGATATAGTTTGCGGGGAGCTGTAAACCGGCCCGATGGCTGTGTGTCACCGACCTGACACCAGTCATATCATTGATGTGTTGTATGTGGTGTGTGCCACGCTTGCTGGACGTTGGAAACGCGAGCCACGCCAGCTTCGGCTAGCCTTGCGATGGGAGGTAATTTAGTGCCCATGTCAAACTCGGGTGGGCGCAGATAGAGGACGAGATGGCGTCTTGCTTCCCAGAATTGGCTAGCAGATAGGACACTGCAAAGTTGGGGTTCCATCGCTCGTGGGATTGATCGCTTTGCTGCTATAGTTGGGTGTGCATCAAAGCGTCAACCATCGTGCCCTCCTCCTCCCCCCTGGCGAGTTGTGTACCCGCTTTCTTCCCGCCCACACCTGCTGCCGCCACTGTTGGGACGGTTCCTCCGCTCGTGCTTGCGTGTGTGTGGCACGGCCGCTCAGACCCCAGGGAGCGACATCGGACGGTAGGATAAATGCGAGCTTCCAGTTCGGGCTCTAGCCTGCTTTGGGATCCCGAGGTTGTGTTCGAGAGGACGGGGTTTGCCGCCACTGCTTGGCGGAGAGGGCTGATTGATAATATGAATGTCTGGGTCTGGATCACTCCCGTTGCGCGGCACGGCGCGGCATCAGAATCTCAAGGCGGGACAATCTGCACGATCGGCGTCACGGACTGTGATTTTGAAGATTTCCACGAGCATCAAAAGTGACGCTTCGTTCAAAAATGCTGCCGTTGTGGACGGGATGGGAGAATGAAGGGGCGATCTGCGCATGCAATCTGTTACTTTGGATATATGCCGTGTGCTAGCTGGTAGGTCAAAGTTCCCGTTTTGGATACCGGCTTTACTTCGATTCAGCCTCCTTGGAGGCCTTCTGAACCACCGCCACCTGCTCTGCCGAGGCGTTGGCCCGTGTGTCCTCGATGCCCCTGACGACGTCGTCCGGCAGCGGGCCATCCGCGATGGCCGCCACGTTCTGCTCCACCTGCTCGACCCTGCTGGCGCCGAGCACGAGGCCGTCGCCCAGGTCGGCGCGCAGGACCGAGTGGAACGCGACCCAGCGCAGCGCCGCGGCCGCGTGGCTGATCCCCTTGGCCTCCAGCAGGGGTTGGAGCGCGCGCACGGCGGCGTGCAGCTCGGGCCGGTCGAGCGAGGCCCGCAGCATGCCGCCGACGACGCCCGGGTCGGCGAAGCGCGACGACGACGCGTCCACCGCGCCCGCCGTCAGCCGGCCCGACAGGAAGCCCGACGCCAGCGGCGACCAGGCGAGGAAGGCGATGCCGTGCCGCCGCAGCACGGGGAAGAGCGTGGCCTCCTCCTGCCGGTGCGTGAGGTTGTACTCGCCCTGGTACACGGACGGCACGGCGTAGCCCTTTTGCTTGCAGATGGCCACCCAGTCTTCGACCATCTGGGGCGAGAAGTTGCTGAGACCGATCTGGGTTGTCGGCGCTGGTCAGTCTCATATGGGAAGGCGAGGGAGGGGACAAGGAACGGGGTGTCTTGATGGCGGTATGTTGACTGACCTCCCGGCAGCGGCCCTTGCGCCGCTGCTCCTCAAACGCCTCGACCTGCTCCTCCAGCGGCGTCGTCGGGTCCGGGACGTGGGCGTACAGCACGTTGATCTTGTCGACCCCGAGGTTCTCGAGGCTCTTGATCGCGCTCGCGCTGACCTTCTCGGCCGTCAGGGTGCCTTGGGGCTGGCCGAGCGTCCAGGCCACCTTTGTGTCGACCTGGAACCCGGCCGGGTGGGAGGCCACGCCGCTCGCGGCTATGATCCTCTCCGAGTCGCCCGGCTTGCCGCCGGCTGGGTAGATGGCCGCCGTGTCGATCCTCTTAATCCCGAGCCGGTCCAGGGCGTCCACCATGCCTGGGAAACCCTCCGCCGTCGTTGCTGGGCCGCCCCATGGGCTGCCGAAGTTGGCTGCGCCGAAAACGAGAATCGGATGAGAAGGAGCCATGATGGGCGTCTTGGCGGAGGCTAGGGGTGCTGGAATAGGAGACTGTGCCAACTTTAGTGTTTGGAGTAATATTGTTCCGGGATGCGGATGAGGAGGTCGGCTTTGAAGCGGGCATTGCCAGTTTTATACCCCCTCTCTTGGACAGTGCAGCTCCCTTCCATAGATAGGATCGGCTCGGGTGCCTCGAGTGCTTCCTCAAGCATCTCCCCTCAGTATCAGGTTCGGATGATAAATCCGTGATACTGTGCGCGTTTGTGATCCTAGTCGACAGACAGGCTCGGGAAATAGGACTTTGCCCGTGATTCTCCGCTATCCCCGGTCAATGTAATTGTCCCCCCATGTTCGCAGTGGCCATTCAGCGCTTGCCTTGGGCCGGTCTATTAGATGGCATTGATCCACCAGCGGACTTAAGTCCAACTCAAGTCCGACTCAAACAATATCAGTTGCGTCATCTACATTCAAAAGGCGCCAGACTTTGTTGGCAAGCCCTCTCCTAATACACCAGAGATGTCTTCAAAATACACTAGGTAGGTAAGAATGAAGACGAGCACAAAATAACGCATTTTCGTCTTTGGCGTATTAATACGGTAGAAGCGAAACATTCCGCAACATTTAACAATTTGGCGTTTTACGCAGTCTCGGCTTTAAAGTTTAAAGTCCGCATTCGTCTTCTCCCAGCCCTTGAGGCTCGGTTCCAAGGCGGCCACACGCTCAGCCAGACGCTGCTTCTCGTCCTTGGCTCGCTCCGTACAAAGCTCGTACATGGTCGTGAGGTTGAACAGGAGCGTGTGGGACGAGTGGCCAGAGTCAACCATTTCCTCCAGGATCGCTCGGCCCTATGTTTAGATGTGGTTAGAATAGGCGTGGCAGTAAAAGGCCGACGGCTTGAGACTCGCAAACCTACCTGCTCCATCCGCCCGACGTAAAGGAGACAGACGGCCGTGTTGACGCCCACCATCTCGTCGCGTGGCAGCTCCTCGCGCAAATCCGTCCAGGTCGCGAGAGCGGATTCGTAGTCTCCGTCGGCCATGTCGCAGAGGGCCGAGATGACCTTGTCCCTAGAGGAGTCGGGCGCGAAGGAGGGGCCGCCTTCCCTGCCTGCGTTCACGCAGGCACGGGCCGCATCGACGTCCCCCAGGTGCAGCCACAGCAGCGCGCGCGCGGTAGCCAGCCTGCTGGTGCCGTTCTGGACCACCGGCAGCGAGGCGAGGTGAGCCGCCGCGCCGGACAGGTCGTCCATCTCGACGAGGGCTCCGGCGACGCGGAGGCCCAGCTCAGCCAGGCGGCCGCGCCACAGCTCGCGGGCCGAGTTGTCGTGGTTGGCCGTCGCGCGCGCCAGCCTTGCGCGGGCCTCGCGGGCCAGCTCATAGTAGCTCATGACGGAGCGGCGTGGGTCGCCGAAGCCGAGCGACTGCAGGCGCACGGCCAGCACGCGCAGCTCCCAGGGGACCAGGTGGTCTGGTGGGTCCTGCTGCTGGGCCGCCAGGAAGCTGGGGCTTGGGCTGTGCGGCGGCGGCCCGGCGGCGATGGCGTCGATGCCCAAGCCGATTGATGTGGTGGGAGAGGCGATGATGGAGGGTGCCGTGGTGGGGACGGTGTTGGCGAGGTAGAAAGGGGACTGCACGTCCTCGAGGGCCTTAACCTCTTGAGCGGCGATGTTGGTGGCCTCGATGAGGGTCAGACAGGCGAGGCGGGTGTGAAGCAACGAGAAGATGCGGACATGGTCTTCGGGGCTGGGAGGCGTGTGGCCGGCGGTGCCTGTCAGCTGCTGCACAGCGGCCACGGCGGCGGCGCGGTAGTGGCCACGGGCGACAAGATCAGCGATCGGCGCTTCCGGATCCGGCTGATGGGGCGAGTCCCGAAACGGCTGCGGGATCGTGGTGGGACTCAGGGTGTGATATATCTCAGGCCTCAGCAGGAAGGAGAAGTCCTTCTTCGGCGGAGGCCCGAGGCGGGGAGACGGGGCAGGCGAGCGGCCCGGCGATCGCGGACTCCTCGGGTTTGGCGATGTGGCCCTGGGACTAGAGCTTTGCTCCGGCGAGAGGAAGCTCATGTTCGGATCCGGCAACCGGGGCGAGCTGAGCGACACACTGGGGTGCGCACAAAGCAGACGTTCAGCACCTAGGCACTATTACAGAACAGACCTGGTTGCTTGACATGGTCTCATCCAGCAAACACTCACTCATCCACCTCTAGCGGCCCCTTTGTGGTAGACCGCGGCCGGGTCGCTACGTAGGTTGGGCATGTCAGCATGAGCCCTGCTCTTTACCTCGGGAGGCATCAAACTGGGACGCCTTGTGTGCAGCGTGGATGCGCAGAGATGGGTGCCTCACCTTGCGGTATAGATTTGTTGCGGGCATGTTCCCTTAGCGGCAGCTGCTTCTGCGGCCTGTCCATTTTAGTGACCCACGCACACTCGCCGAGATAGTATAGGTGGTGTTGACGGCACAGAAAGAAGGGACGGAGAGGAAAGCTGAATGACGGTGACGTCGGGTCTGATTGAAGGAAGGCAGCCACCAGATACAACTGCCCCACATTGAACCCCACTACAGCACACCTGTTTTCCATGGCCTACAGCTTTGTTCACTTTTCAAATTCCCTTCGGAGACTTTCGTCCAGAGACAAGAACCCATCCCTGCCCATATACTTCAGCAGCGCCTCTGCCCTCGACGCCGGCTCGATGATGGCCAGGTCGTCGTAAAGGCCGGGCACATCCTCCGCAAACTCGCGGTCCGGAAACGACTTCCTCAGCGACTGCAGCACCTTGTTCCAGTTGAAGGGCTCGGCGACGGCGAACACGCGCTCGCCCGCCACATCCTTGCGCACGAGCGCAGCCACGTGAAGTAACGCGCAGTCCTCGGTGTCGACGAACCACTCTGCAGCACCGAGTTAGCGGCTAGGAACAGACAAGGGAGCAAGTCCAACGGGTCGGCGCATACCTGGTGCGTATGCATGGACAAATGCGTCGATCAACTCCTTGTTTTGGTTGGTGTACAAGGCTTCGGCACAGCCCGTAGTTGACGGGTATCCCTGGTTTTTCACATCCAGGACTTTCCCAAAGTTGCCTCCAGGAAGTACTGCCAGATGCATATCATGTGTCAGCCAATAGTCCCGACTTCTAGCCCTTGATCCGCCAAGGGGGTGCTTACCACTGTTGACCACGAACGCAGGCTTGTTCTGCTTGACCCAGTCCCACATGGCCTGTTCCCCCTTGGTTTTGCTGGCACAATACACGGCGAAACCCTTTTGCCCATCTGACATGTCTTTGGGCAAGTTTTGGGCGACCAAGACCGACTCCTCGTTCCAGGTCTCCGCCGTAACCCGGATCCGCTGATTAGGATGCGGGTATACGAGCGCGCTGTAAGAAGATGTCAGGACGAATCGCTCTACTGAAGCCTCGCCCGCGGCGGACTCGAGCATCCTGATGGTGGAGTCCACGGCCACGGGGATGACCTGGTCCGGGTTTGGGTCGAAGGTGACGGCTGATGCTACGTGCATGACGCCCGCCATGCCCCTAACCGCATCGTCGAAGGCGCCGGGCTTGGTGATGTCGACCACCTGGACGAGCTCGAAGAAGCCCTTGCCAAACTTGCGGTCGAAATGATCGACCATCCACGCGTTCTTGTCTATGCTCCGGACGGTCCCGCGCACCCTGTAGCCGTGTGCGAGCAGCTGGTTGGCGACGTGCGAGCCGACAAGGCCGTTCACGCCCGTCACAAGCACCCAAGCTCCAGGCGGGATGGAGGGGTCGTTCAGAGGCGCCATCGCTAGTCTGTAGCTGTGGTTTGTAGGGAGTGGTGGCTACAATCGTTCCTGTCTTTGACCCCAGAACACGTTCGAGAGGGTAGGTATGCACGAGAGGCAGAGATTTATTATACCCGTGGTATTGCAAGCCCAAATACCGCCCTTTGTTTTCGGTTCTAGCGCTTAGATATCGTTCGATGTGATGACAAATACAGTCCCTGTTTTGGTTGCAAAGCAGGGGTGTCTGGAAAGGGTTACATGGGCCTGCTTACTGAGCTAAGTTCGTGGCTCGGTAGCGGTTCCTGGGCACTATTGATGGTGTGCAGCTGTCACCCTCCTGGGTTGCTGGCTCTGGCGTCCTGCCTTTTTTTTTTTTGTCGAGCAGTGCGCTGGCTGCAATTGCTGACGATGTAGCTCTCAAGGCTCTGGGAAAGCGAGGATCCGGTCTGCCAGAGCATCAGGAGCACCCGAGGCTGGTTAAGGGCCTTTTTGGCATCACGTACCGTGGAAGTGCTCGGATGCTGGGCGGCAACTGCCTGTGAGCGGCAGCTCCGATGTTGACTGTTGGCTATTCACCACCTACCTACCTACCTACGCCGTCACATCGTGCTTGCCTCTGCCCTCGAAGATGCATAACACCGACAGCCGTTGGTCGTCATGGGATCAGTCACGGCAGAAACCAAAATTTCCATGTCTTCCCTCTATCCGAGCTGTCCCAACCGTACACACCACAATTTCTCAAGGGTTTATCGAACAGTTCTACCATATCTGCTCGAGAATTGACAGAAATATATTTTACAGCACCATCTTCTCCTCCACCAGTAAGTCTCACTACCTCTTCCTTGGCTTATATACCGTACCAGCACCTTTCATTTCGACTCGGCCTTTAACCTGATTTTACATGCTACCACTAGACTACCGTACGGGTTCGCTACCCATAAGACACGGCACAGGAGCAACGTTGTATTGTCTCGGCCGTCCCCATGACTTGCATGTGCGTCTCCCCTTGTCATGGCCATGAAACGAGTCGAGGCGACGGGTTGTCCAAACAGCTCCGCATTACGATCAACACCTTTGCGCGCATCGCGCCTGTCGGGAACCACCAGCCCGCCGCCTCCGTCGGAGCAACTGCCTGCACCCTGCAAGAGCTCTGGGTCTATAACGAGGTGTGGGGAACCCGGCTCGACATCCAGGTGGCGCCGCCGGAACGGGGGCGGCCTCTCCCTAGGTCGTCCGCGGCCGACATGCCGCAGGCCAGGATCGAGGCTATGCTGTCGGCTCTGGAGTGGGCCTTTGACATCTTCCACAGGCACTTCCGGCAGAAGAGGTGCACTTCGGCCCGGATCACCATCGCCACAGATCTCGAGGCGGAGGAGGCCGTCGAGGCGATGAGGACGTCCGCATTCGATACTCTCCATCGCGACCTGGCAATCCCTATTCGCAACCTCCTCTACTATTTTGTCGACGCTGGAGCGGAGATTGGATTCTCGTTTGTCAAATCCCCTGATCTCAAAGCCGAGTCGGTGCTGAGCAGCGAGCTGGCGAAGCAGGGCTATGGTGCCGACACATAAAACATTCTTTCCTGCCATTCACAATAGCGAAGATCACAGAGATGACCGGTTGGATGCTTGTACCAGAGAGGCCGGATCACCGCTGCCACTACCTCTGTTGTTCTGCTGTCCTTTAGTGTCTCAATAGCGCGGAAGGAATACTTGATTAGATGTAGCTACTTCAAACAGCACGTCGACTCGCATCCCATCCCCTCCTTATTCGCCGCCGCCCAGACACCTCTGCAGCTCCGCCATCTGGTCGTTCTTCAGCGCCCGTCGCTCGTCCTGACTGAGCTGCTTGGCAAACCCTCTGCCCGCCAACTGCAACTTGCGCAGCTGCATTTTCTGCACCGACTCCTCTATGGTCCCCTCCATGGCGTACCGCACGATGGTCACCTTCTTCGACTGGTCGAGCCGCAGCAGCCGGCCGACGGCCTGCTTCTCGGCCGCCGGGTTCCACTGGGGCTCGAGGATGTGCACCCTGTTTGCGACCGTGAGGCCGTTCAGGCTAGCATGGATGGCAGCGCTCCGGTTAGCTTTACTGATCTGATGCTCGAGAGTGGAGGACAAGAACGGTCACTTACCCGACAGCCCCGGTCGAGAAAGTGATTAGTAGGACGCTGAAAGCGTGGCGGGTTTGGAACGTCAAGAGTATGTTCCCTCGCTTCTTTGCCGAGACGTCCCCGTCGACCCTCAGATACTTGATGCCACGTGCGTCCAGAGCTTTTCCGACAATGTCGAGCGTTGTTTTCCAGAACGAAAAGACCACGCTTTGAGGGGGTTAGCCAAGAGCTTGTCTAGATTTCGAGGCATGTGATGTGGGTAGCGCGAGGGGTTTTTGGCATACCACTTTTCAGTGAGGGAATGTGCCCGTATGTCCTCGACGAGCGCGTTGATCTTTGACGGGTATTGCTGTAGCCCGGGATGGCCTGCCCCCTTAGAGTCCTGTTGTTTTGACTCATCAAAAACGCTCCCGCTGCCGTGTATGTGGTGGCACAAGGGACAGGTGAAGGGCTGCCCTTCTGCTTGACTGCCTCGATACTCCTGTGTGCAGCCGTGACAAACCAAGCGAAGGCAGTGCGTCAAACACGCCAGATTCAGGTCACTCTCTGGAGTGCTGCTGCTGCTCTCGTTGTTGCTGCCGCTAGTCTCGCCGTCGCTGATACTCGGCCCCAACGAAACGATGTCAACCGAACAATAACAGCAGCTGGCCTCCCCCTTTTGCTGCAGATAGCTCAGCACCTCATCAGGAAGGCTGCGGGAAGACCCACGGCTCCCTCGCGTCAAGATTGACGACAGGTTGAGCCGATATGCCGCCTCGCCATTGTTGCAGAACATGCGGAGCCGCAGCAGTGCCTCCATTATCGTGTGCTCGTTGCTGGCCGCCGCTACCCCGGCGGTTTTCTTTGCGCTAATGGCTATGGCATTCTTGCACGCGGTGGTGAGCGTGTTGTACTGTCCCAGCTCTGTCGCGGTGAACTTCGGCTTGCGGTATTCTTCTACGTGCCCCTGAGATTGTGGCATGATGTCCTTGCTCCTGCGGAGGCAGATGGAGGAAAGGATCAGCCTCAGGCTGGTGAACTCCCCCTCCGGATGGGCTCTGGTGCGGGTTATTTTCGTCAGGTATTTTCTGAAAGTGGCCGGCTCCGAGAATATAGGCATCCTGAGAAACTTGACGAGGGATCCAAGGTCATCGAGGGAATTTTGGATAGGCGTCCCCGTCAGGCACCACCGAATCTGGGACGAGATGGAATGCACAGCGTCGAACTGCTTGGTGCCCCAGTTCCGGATTAGATGCGCTGGGTAGAGATGACAAGCGCCTCAAATGTTAGCACGCACGATAACCTTACTATTTCGTTGTAGCATCTCAATCGAAGTGGACTTGCCTTCATCCAAGATAAGCCGGTGCCATTTTATTGTGTGGATGGCGCTGCTGGCTCGACGGCGGTCCGCCATGACCGTCCCGTAGGTCGTCAAGACTAAGTCCTGTTGAAGGAGGATAGTATCGAGATCGCGCCTATCCGAGCCGTGGTACTTGGAGTAGCGGATGGAATAAGGGCGGAAGTGGCTGTGGTCAAGCAGGAGAGATTGTCAGCAAAGCACTTCTCTTGCAGGAAGGGATTGGAATATTGGCCACCAAATGAGAACCTACCGCTCGATCTCCTTAATCCAGGTGTTCAATAGGACTTGAGTGGTGTTACAGATCTTGTCAGCAGCCTTTCTCGGTATTGGTGATCAAATGGTGCAAGGGGAATCACATGCACGTACGCTCACTAGGCACCACTACGAGAGTGGCTTTGCCCGAACCTTGTGGGGTTGATGTGGCAACCGCTGCCAAAGTTGTCAGGGTCTTGCCCAAGCCCATATCGTCGGCGAGGATTCCTCCTTTGAAGTCACTTGGGACTCTACTCTTCGCGCCGGTGACGCGATGCTGGTAGCTGGGAAAGGGGAAATAATATCAGCGAGTTATTGTCACGCCTACTTCCTCCGTAGGCAGCTATGCAACCCATTAGGAATTTGTCAAGGCCAATGTGAGCGCTTACCATATTTCCCCAGACGGAAGTGTGCTTCGCTCCCAGAGGTCATCTCCGCCATCGGGCGAGACGTCGAGCTCCCGTTGCAGTATCCATTCCATAGCTTCTTGCTGATGGCTGTGCGTGCGTCGTGAGTACAGTGTCTCAGAGTACAAGGGGCAGGCCTTCACTAGGTACCTATAGAGCGTCGCCATAACGCGTCCATCTTTTTGGGCCACTGAAAGAGGCCTATGGCGTGGCAGATGGTCGAAGAAGTTGTCGATGTTCTGAACTAGGTCGTTTAGCGCTGCCGAGGCGCCGTCTGCGACATCGACTTCCAGCTCTTCATCTTCTTCAGTTGGGAAAAGTGCTGAATGGAGCTCGACCTGCGATTCCATTGACGGACGTGTGACTCGGAGGTTGATACTTGGCGGCAGCTGCAGCGACTGGGGGTTCTCATAGATACCTGCGCACAAATCCTCGTGCGGCTTTTGTAGGAATCTCATCTGATTCCCGAGGTCGCTCGCTAGATTGACCCCTGAGCCCCTTGGCCCGAAGAAGAGTAGGTCAATGTTGATGAAGACTCCCTTTCTCGACTTCTTGTCCACCACTTCGGCTATTTTGGTTGTCCACTCAGATGTGAGAACCCACGCTATTAGGAAACACTCTGGAGTTCGTGTGAGGCATGCCGACAAGGATTCGAAAACCGTCTTGCTCAGGACGCCTACAGCAGAGCCCTCAGTGGTGGACACTAGAGCGTGATCCGACTTCAAGTCCAATTGCAGTGGCGTAAATTTGGGTAGGCTTTGTTGATTAGCGGAGGATTGTCCCACTTCTTTTACAGGCCACTTCAAAAGCGTTTCGATATCTGGAAGCTGGTATCCAAAAGGGCTGTTAGCACATATTTGCTAAATTTATGGCGCTAGGGAGTCGATTTGAATACATGCCATGCCGTAGCAAATATGAGGCGTTGCATGCATATCGCCAGTCGAGGTCGAGGCCGATTCTCCTGGAAGAGGACTCGGTTCTGGAGTCGTTTGTGGCTCCGACTGTGAATTAGACAGGGGGGGTTCCCAACTCAGCAACCCCTGGATGCCAGGAAGCTACCAGATATCATAAAGAACCACTTTTAGTATTTAATTTCCCACAGGAAAATCCATAAGACTCTGGCGCATACCATGTAGTGGAGGCTTGTATCTTTAGTTGAGCGTTTGTTTGGATACATAGCATTATAGCCACCGTCCTCGGGACATGGTCGCTTTTGAGCCTCTGCATGATCGAAGAAATCCATCAGCGAACGTGTAATAAAAGTGTGGTGTCGCTTGCTGGAAGGGATTTTTGGGGTGGTGTCCTGTGTTTGCACGGCAAGACACTGGACGCAAAGGCCTCGGGAGGAGAGTATCTCCACATATTAAATACTTCGCTACGACGTTTTCCCATACGAAATCAGGTGGGCTCATTGGCTCGTATCTCTTTTCTGGGCGTGAGGCGCAGGTGCGAAAAGGCGACGCGGGACCAGCAGCGGAATTGAATCCTATTGGGTGCCTGCCCAGCGGCGTTTCGGGCAGTGCGACAACGCATGCAGGAGGCGCATAGGCCGGGCGGCTAAGCGGTCAGGCTCCGGGAAAAGGTTGAAAAACTCGGGCTCCCCCGCCACAGATGTGGAAGCCCTCTTAACCGCCCAATTCCGCCGAACTCTCCGCCCCGCCATTGACCAGGGCTTTGTTGCCGACACCTCTGACCGTCCTCAACTAGCCATGGACGCCGAGTTCCGGCGTGTCAGCGATGCCTTCAAGGCAGACCTGACCCCACAGGAGCTGGACTACTTCCAATCCAGCCGGCTAGAGGATGTCCAACATGCACTGTCCAGGGTCCAGAGTGAGCAGGAAGCCAAAGGCAGCCTGCGATTTTTGAGGAGGATTGAACCCTTCGTCAACACTATGCTCGAGTATAGCAAGGTGGTCGAGGTCTTCATCAATGTTGAGGAGACAATGGCCCTTATCTGGGTACGTATTCGTATTTCTCTGTACGGTACATACACCGCTAACTTGTACTTAACATCTGCAAAGGGGCCGCTGAGGTTCATGTTAATGGTGAGTATCGTCACTACCTTCCATTCATTTTCTACCCCCGTCCTAGTCCTTGCAGCCCATTCCTAATCATTTACGATTCGCTAGATGACGAAGAACCTCACCGAAGCCTTTAGCTCTTTGCTAGACACCTATCAACAAATCGGAGAACAGATTCCTCTCCTACTGTCGTTCCAAGCGCTCTTCGAAAACCAAACCCACGTTCATATGAGACAGCTGCTGGTCCTGATATACCAAGATATTTTGAACTTCCAGCTGCTTGCTCTCCGATTCTTCCGCAAAAAAAGTACGAAATCTAGATGCAACATGACACACTATATCGGGCTATTCTGATAATCTAGCTTCTGCCTGTATAGTGTGGAAAAAACTCTTCCTCGCAAATTGGAGCGGGTTCAAAACAGATATCAGCCAGTTGAAGGAAAATCTGGGACGCCACAAGCGGCTTATCGAAAGCCGCGCTTCCCTCACCCAATTTGAGGAGACGCATAGCATACGGGTGGCGGCCGAGGAGAACCTCAAGCAAACCAAGGAAGACACGCAACGCCGCCGCAGACGAGACGTGTTTCAGTGGCTGGGCTCTGCAGATGTGGAGGCAGTTCACGAACGCCATGTGACCGCCAGGGCCTGGAGCTCGGAGTCATGTACCTGGCTAGCCCAGGATCCAGTCTTTAAGGATTGGTTCGATCCTGACTTTTGCACTACGCCATTGCTTTGGCTTAACGGCAAACCAGGCGCAGGTGCGGGGCTCCCTGGATCCTATCTTGTCAAGCGCACCCGTCGGTACTAATAGAAACGACATCTTTAGGCAAATCTGTCCTTGCTTCGTCCGTGATTGACAAGGCAAGAGAGCTTCAGGGGATCACAGTTGCATTCTTCTACTGCAGCGAGGGGGATCCTACAAGGAGGGAGTTCATCGCCATTGCCAGATCGATGCTCGCCCAGCTAGTGGCTCAGGACGAAACCCTGATTCTTCATTGCGAGTCAAAGATGTCATCCCAAAATGGGAAAGTGCCCCAAAACGTTTTATCCGATCTCAAGCTGGCAAAGGATCTGCTGGAAACGGCTCTCAAGAGCCGAAAGACCTACGTGGTTCTGGATGGGATTGACGAGTGTGACAGAGAGCAGCGGAAGGATATCTGCCATTGGTTTAGGGAGACAGTAAGCAACCTCCCTAGAACTAAGCACGATGACATCAGATGTCTGTTCGTCAGCCAGGACGATGGCATCGCTAGGAAGGATCTCTCCATGATTTCCACGCTCAGCCTCACAGCGGAGAAAAGTGAGCAAGAAATCAAGGAATTCTCAACACACCATCAGTCCCAACTCGAGCTCCAGTTCCGTTCGCTAGGGAACTATGGGCTTGACCTTGCAAGGATCGTTACAGCCAGATCGTGTGGTATGGAGGCTTCCCTTTCCTTTTGATGCCCGATGCTGTTAAGCTTACAACGCTGACTATAGGCGTTTTTTAGGGATGTTCATATTCGCTCGTTGCGTATTCGAAGAGTTGCGTCAGCAACCCTCGCTTCAAAAACTCCTGGACGAATGGAAAGAAGACCGATTCCCAAAGGACCTTACAGAGGTGTAAGTGGCCAAGGCTGGATGTTTTGGAATGATCTAATTCGGATACATCCCCAATAGGTACACCCGGATATACAACCGGATCATGAGCTCTGGGTCCAGGAACCAGCACGAGGTTTCGAAACGGCTTCTGTCTTGGGTTGTTATCGCAAGGAGACCTCTGAAGTGGTGTGAGATGCAGGCTGCAATATCCATCAACCTCGAAGAAGAAACGGTCAATGAGCCAAAGGACCGCTTGGTAGACTCTTCGAAAGATCTCTGTGCATCCTTCGTTGAGATCCACGCGGATCAAATGATCGAGTTTGTGCATGGCACAGTCAAGGAGTAGGTCTTTCGAATATCTCTCCCATCCGCACCCACACTTTCCAATAGACTAGCCTGACCAGATTGTTTATATTTACCCAGATTCTTGATCAACGAGCACATCATAGACCCCTCCAAGAGCGAGCTCGATCTATCCCTGCTTAGCATGTCATACCTCAGTCTTGGGGAGATGGATTTGGACAACAACACCGAGGAAGTCATGCATGGTGTCTTAGCTGGGCGCTATGCATTCTACGACTACGCCGTGTCCAGCTGGACATCACACTTGATGGCCTGGCTGGAAGGGGAAAGCCATGACCAGGAGGTCATCGAGAAGTTCAAGGGACTCCTTGACTTGTTCCTTGATCAGCATTACAACAAGACACCCACCGCAGCACCAGTGTCGAAGGAGATGCACAAGAAGCTTCACGCTATTGCGCACTTTGAGTCTTACGCCAGGGTCGCCCAAGCGATCATATGGTCAAGGAAACAGCTCAAAACCCTCAGCACCAACGCCGACAGTACCACTGCAGTACTTGACTTCCCAGAGCTCACACAGAACATCAGGGGGGCTATGGAAAATGCAGTGGAGGGGAATCACTCACTGGACTCGCGAGACGCACTCCGACTCTTCTATGGAGAGAAGCTATTCAAATGCAGTAAAGTCTACTGCCCCCGCTTCTATGATGGGTTTGAGTCGAAGCGCGACAGAGATGAGCACCAGGGATGCCATGACCCTGTCGTTTTCTGTGGCCATGGCAGTTGCTACAGGGCCAAGTTCGGGTTTGCTTCCGAGGCGGACCTTCGCCGTCATATGCTCCAGGAACACAGAATCGACAACTTTCCGGACGTGCCGAAACCGAAACCAGATCTTGAAAGGCGCGAAGGTGACAGACAATGTCCGCACTGTCCTAAGCTTTTTCGTAGCTGGCAAGGTTGGAACTTGAAGCTCCATGTGAGGACGCACACAGGCGAGAAGCCCTACGAATGCTCGTCCTGTGGCAGAAGGTTCACAAGGAGTAACAAGAGGGACGACCATTTAAAGCGCACATGCAAAGGCTCAGCCTCAGATGCCCAGTTATGATAACACCGCAACCGCCCATCATCTCTGGCATGGGAGGGGTGGTGTACAAATCATGTATCGTAACTACGGAGTTGAGACGTGGTTGGGAATATTACATGAGAGAGAAACGAGAAAGAACATGTAGTTTGTAAAAATGAGGCTAAATAAGTCAGTGCACCCCTTGTTGGCCCACCCCCCATGTTCGCCCACCTTTTCCACGCCTTTTTCACAAAAACTCACTGTTTTCATAACGCATTTAAACATCGTACAAAAATCGTATAAATATAAAATAAACAGCTTTATATAGCTAAAAGCATAAATTTTTACGAAATATATTAAAATGATATTTTTTTACATTGTATAAATTACAATTTGGATTTGAATTTGAACAAACTAAAATGTTAGTGTTTCTTAACAAATTGTATGCAATTTATAACATTTTAAAATATAAAATAACTTTTTAAATAAATGCATTATATATATGAAGTAGTTTATATTTAATATAAAAAACTAAAAAATTTAAATAATAAATAATATTACGTAATGCAATGTTTATTTATTTAGTTAAAATTAAAAAATTAAAAAAGTTACGTTTATTATGCAATACACTGTGCGTTTTTTAAAATATAACCTTAAATATAAAAATTACGTAAGTAATAAAGTATTTACGTAAAAACTTAAATTTTTAAAAGTTAAATGCAGGTTATTTCATATATACAGCGTATATATTAATAAAGATATTTACAGTTTAATATTTGTTGCAGGTAAAAGGGATAGGCACGGTGTAAGGCTATTCCGGTTGATATGCTTTAAAGAGGAAGGGATTTAAGGTGCAGGGCTCCGTAAAAGCCTTTACCCTTTATATACACGTAACTCCCGCGTCCTCCTTGCTTACTAAGCTTCCTTCCTAATGCCTGAAAGTGTTATACGTTTTCAAGCAAAGGAACCGCTTTTTCGATGCTTTAAGCATTTACTATTTATGCTTAAAACCTTTTCTTTACAATATATACTGTTTTTTTTTACACTCGGCCCAAACTATCCGAGCTTGCTTAAAATAAAACGTTTTCTGCTTGCGCGCGACGACGACAACGACATACAAAAAAACTAAAGCCATTACGAAAACCGAAAACGCCAATTTGCCTAAGGGCTAAGCGAGCTCGATAATACCCCGAGGCGCTATTGCGGCGTCGATGGAAAAGGCCATTGGCTTTAACCAATCGAAGCACGCAATACGCGACGGGAATTACCCGAACCAGCAACAATTACGATAAAAACCAATCGCAAGCCCAAAAAAAACCTAATTAATTATTGCAACGATACAATTCGCAAAAAAGTATTTCCAATCGTTTAATAAAAAAAAAAAAAAATTACGGCCGTTAAAATTATTGCGAAATTTGTTCGATACGTTAAAGTAACCAACCAAACGACCGCAACTTTAATAATTTTAGCAATTAACCCTAACGCGATTTAAACGATTTTTTAATTTTTTAAACGAATTAAAATTATATTAAAAAAAAAAAACCAAGCGCAACAAGTTACGGCCGCGAACGGAAAAAATGGAAAACAAATTTGGGCTTAAATAACCGCAAAAGCGCAAACCGTTTCCAAAGCACCCCAAACAATAAAAGCTAAAAAAGCAATAGCATTTACAATCGACAATAAAATTTTTATTGTTACCGGAAATAAAAAAATTAAAAAGATAAAACCCGAAAAAATTAAACGGATTTGCAATAAAAAATTGGGTAAAGGCTAAGTTAAAACGGCTTACCAATACCCGTTAAAAAACGTTTATTTGCATTTCCAAAATGCTAATACCCGTTAACAAGCGGAAAAAAAATGCCGGCCCGGGCCGGGAACGAACGATACAAATAAAGGCATAAAAAGGGTTGCGGACAGTTACGGCAACCCCGCCGCAACGAACCGGCTACGGACGTGGTACGCGCTTTTTGCGGTTTAAAATACAACCGGACAAACGGATTGTTAAGGGTTAATCGGTGCAGAGGCGGGTGGTTACCGGGTTACGGGCCGGATGCGGTGTTTCTTTTGTTAAACCTCCGTAAATCTTTTACCAAAGGTGCTATCGCCAATAAAAATTGTTCTTTCTTTAACTTCCCTTTCCTTCGTCCCTTTCGGGCACCCGGGGTCGGTTTTTTAAATCCTTCGCGCTTTAAGCGCTTTCGTGCAATTTAAACTTTACTTTATTTTTTAGCTTCGCCATTATGCTTTGGCCGCAATACCGGTAATTTGCCGGCATGTTCCCGGGGGTTCGTACCCGGCTGGTTGCTAGCGCCCCCTTCCTTTTTTTCTGCCGGGCGGTTTCGCCCGTGCATTTAACGCTTCCCGCTTTTTACCGGGCGGTTTTGCCCGTACTTTTAACATATTGCCCTTTTCCGATACGGCTTGTTCCAAATCGCTTATACCGCGCGTGCGACCCCGTAAGTAGCCGGTAGCTTACGGTATCCCGCTAAGCCGCTTTAATGCCCGGCAACGCTTAAAAAAACCGGTTATAAAGTTTTATAGCATCCAAAAAAATAAGTCCGTACCGGCATATAAAAGGCTTTTTTTCCCGTTTAAAGCTACGAGCCCTTTTTTTTCCTTTTTGTACATTTAATAACCATTTTAATAACTTTAACGATTGTAACCGTAAGTAATCGGTATTTAACCGTTCCTTTTAAACATTTGGACCTAACCGGTAGCTACAAATGTTATCCTTTGTACCCAATTACGTAAAAAAAGTAATGTTTTTTTGGGTGTCCGCTTCGGGTTTTTTGGTCCTAGCCGGCCCGTTAGCCCCTTTTGGCAACCCCCCGGTATTTTCCTTAGCTATCGTAATTTAATTAAATTCGGATTCGGTTTCGCCGAAGCTTTTAATCTTTTAAATCCTTAACGATCGCTTTGCCGGTAACCTTTCGGTAAACCTTTTAAATGTCGCGGGTTTATTGGGCCTTTTTGCGCTTGCAACCTTTTAAAATTCCCGCAAGCGTTTTGCCGGTAACCCCCCGGCGGGCTTTAACCGCCGCGGCAAAAAAACTTCCGCCAAAAAAAAGCGTAAAACGCGCGACGAACGCCGCCGCAACGCTTTTAATTCCAATGGATTTGCCCCCGAAACGAACATTGCTTTTTTTTCGTTTTATATAGGTATCCGTAACGCGCTTTCGTTGCAAAAGGTTATCGATTTCCAATAAAGCGATAATTAAAACCTTATTTGTTTGCCCCTTTTTAAAAATAATTATACGAAGCGTACGGTATTTTATAACCGTTATTTTGGTCGTTAAATATATTAAAATTATGCCGTTAACTTTTGTATACCGATATATTCCGATAATTGTACGGGGTTTTCCAAATGTATTTATTGCAAGGACGTGGTCGGCAATAAGGTTTGCGTTAAACTTTCCGAATGGTTTTGGGAAATGGCCCAAAACCTTTACAAAATTTTAAATACCGTTTACAAACGGTTGCCCGAAACGATATCGAAACTTTTTAAAAAGCTTACCAAAGCTTAATTTCGCGCCCGCAAAGCTATCCAAAAAGCCAAATCTTTTTATACTATATCGGCCGAACAATTTGCGCGCTACAAACGTTAAGCCGTTATTTAAAAGCGCATTTAGCGCAAAATTGCTAGCGCTACGATATTAAAAATTACCCAAAACATTTTTTAATAGCTTTACGCTATTGCCGTTTAAACGAAAAGGCAAATTTAAACTTTAGCTAGCATCGGTAATTTTTTTAACAAAATAAAAGCGTTTTTTAAGCGTTTCGAAAAAAGTGTAATTGCTTTTTTTGGTAGCATTGCCGCTAATTTTGCTACGATTGCGGCGCATTTGGATACCTAGGCTTATAGCCGCGCGGTTTCCCGTAAGGGTGCGGCGTCCGTATTGGCGCCGGAAAGTGCCGCTTTCGGCGCCAACAATTTTAGCGGCAACAATTGTAACGCTAACGAAAAAAACGTAATTTCTAAAGGTTTTGGTTTTTTTGGATACGGCATTTAATCGATTTTTTTTACATATTTTTTTAATTAATTACTGGTATTCCTTTTTCGAAAAGTAATTAATTTTAAATTTTTTTGTTAATTTGTTACAATTAAAACCATAATTTCTTTTCGTTATGCTGCTTTTGCAACATTGCAAAATTTTAATATTTTTAATTATTAATTGGGTTTTAATGCCTTAATAAATAATTTTAAAATGCTTTTTTTTCGCTTTTTAATGGGTTTAAATACCGTTAACATGCATTTGCCGTTACCCAAACGCTTAAGCCCGTCCGCCGTATTATCCGGAGGTTTTTTTACTTTTTTTCCGGGCAAGCAATGGTATTTTTTATTACAACGTACGTTTAAAATACGGTAATTACTTTAGCGTATTGCGCTAAGCATGCCTTTTACGGGCTTTTCGAAGTATATTATACTTTGCATATCCTTTAAAACTTAAATATATCGCATTATTAATTTAAAGCGTTCCCCGTACTATACCGTCCCCATTTAATTTTTTGTTTATAAAGCACAATATTTTACGGCTATTACAAACCGTTTACGGGTTTTTTTACGTTTTTCCCCGGTAACCAGCCGGTTCGGCACGTTAAAACATTTTTTTGGGCCATTCTTTTAGCCTTTATTACTTTTTTTTATAATACCCCCGTTCTTTCCGGGTATTTACCCGCTAAGGTCCGGTATTTTCTTTATTTTGTAAGCTCGCTTTTAATAAGCTTGCTTTATACGTTTAAACAATTTTTTTTATAATATCCCTTTTTGGAATTTACGAATTTTCCGATTCGTTGTAATTTATTTATTTAACTAAGTATTTTCGTTTTCGCAAAGGCCTTTTGTATTTTAGCAAAATTTTTACCTTAAAACGTA